TATTATAAACTTAGGTTTTTTTAAAATTCAATGAGGAAAAATAGCTTTTGTTGATTATACAATATGATGTCCATTAGTCTTTTAGAGAATATCCATTTATTTTTTTATGTTTACTTTTATATAGTTTGAATTTTAATAATTTATAGTTTATTTTAATTATAAATGATATGTTATTTAGTTATCTTCAATAAAAATTATGCCTTATAATTTTATAGAAACTCATGATGGTGTACAAGATATGGCATGCGATACTTTTATCAAAATTGCTATGAAATGTAGAAGGTACTTCGTTCAAGTTCAAGTTGGAGAAGCCATGCCATTTATTGAGGAAATTCTTAATTCAATGGCAACAATTATTAGTGACTTACAACCACAACAAGTATTTGAATATAATATAAAATAATAAATTGTTGTTAACAAGACTGTATCTGACTCATTTTTATAATTTTAAATTAAGGTGCATACATTTTATGAAGCAGTCGGTATTATGATTAGTGCTCAAGTGAATTCTAAAATCCAAGAACAACTAATTGATAAATATATGTTATTGCCAAATTTAATTTGGGATGATTGTATCAGTCAAGCTTCAAAAGTAATTATTATTTATTAAATTTATGATTGAATAAATTACATTTACTTATTGTCATTTTTTAGGATGTTGAGATATTAAAAGAACCAGAGTTTGTCAAACAATTGGGTAATATTTTAAAAACAAATGCTAGAGCATGTAAATCTCTAGGACATCAATATGTTGTTCAAGTAAGTTTATTTAATTTTTGATAAAAACACTTAAAATTTATTTTTTCTTCTTTCTTTTCTATAACATACTGTATAATATTATAGTTGGGAAGAATATACTTGGATATGTTGAATATTTATAACGTAATGAGTGCTAATATTACTGATGCCATAGCTACTAATGGAGATAGTGTTACAAAACAACCATTGATTAAAAATATGAGAGTTATAAAAAAAGAAACTTTACGATTGATATCTGATTGGATTTCTAGGTCTAATGATAATGCTATGGTATGTTAACTATTTGTAAAAAAACATTTATTGATCTTTTGATTGTGTATGTCACTTTATACTTTATTTTTTTTTTAGGTACTAGAGAATTTTATTCCTCCTCTTTTGGAAACTGTATTGGCTGATTACAGTAAAACTATGCATCCATCTGCTAGAGAACCAGAAGTCCTCAGTGCGATGGCAACAATAATTGACAAACTACAATCTGATATAACTCCAGCAGTGTCCAAAATTTTAGATGCTGTGTTCGAGGCCACACTTACAATGATAAATAAGGATTTTGAGCAATTTCCTGAACACAGAACAAATTTCTACCTTCTTTTACAAGTGAGTAATACAACTTAAATATTAATAATTTTTTGTTTTCATATTAATTTTTATACTTTTTTCAGGCAATAAATAATCATTGCTTTGTGTCATTCCTATCAATACCAGCCCCTCAGTTTAAATTGGTTCTGGATTCAATATTTTGGGCTTTTAAACATACAATGCGTAATGTTGCTGATACTGGATTATTGGTATATTATATAATACAAATTGACTATTATTTCTTTCATAAAATGTTTAACCCAAGCGTTGAAATTTAGGAAGATTTATATTGTATAAAAAAATGTTATAACATTTATTTTATAATTAATTTGAATATTAGTGTAAGACAGTAATATTAAAGTATTGATAAATATAAAGTACAGTGGAATCTAAATTAATCCGAAACTTTGATAAGTTAAATTAAATAATTTTCCCTTTTAAAGATCTATAAATAGAGGAAAACTATAGACTAATATTCTGTGTTCTTAATATAGATGCATTATAACAATTTTTATTTTTGATTTTATAAACAATTGATTAATGAAGTTTACCTTTTTATGCATGCAAAAATTTTATCACTATTTGATTGAATTTTGTTTTTCATTACATTCTTGATACAAATTATAATGATTCTAATATATATGAAAAAACAGGTTTTTTATGTACAAAGTTTCTGATGACACTATTAAGCTTTTTTATGATATTTTTTTATAAGTTGTTTCAAGTAGGTACTCTTAGTCCTTACATTGTCCAATTTTTGTTTAAGGTGAAAGGAGGAGGAAAAGTGTTGTATTTATATTATATAAATAATTACACTTTAATTTAAAACTGCACTGGCAAAGCTAAGTTATTCAGCTAATAACTAATATCAATTTATATTGGCTATATTTTTTCAAAAATCCTTGATAAGTAGAAATTCACAATAAATGAAAGAAAGTTCTTTTTTTCTTCAAACTTTAATTTATTTGGGTTCTATTGTTAAGAAAATAAAATTCATTATTAATGTTACATATTTGTATATTTTAGATTAACAAACAAAACTAAGAAACCAATCTATATTAAGAGTGTCTGAGTTAACCAATTTATATCTAACACATAAACTTATCTCACGAAATAGTCAGATTCTGATAGTATTTTTATATTTTAAAGAAATGTTATAAATTCAGTGCCACCATATCTTATAATTAAAAATTGTTAGAATGTTTTCCCTTTAATAAATAGCTGGCTTTGGCAACCAAAAATTCTTATTGGGTTTTATGTATACATAATATACAATTTAATGTCTTAATATTTGTAGGAATTGATAAATATTTTATTATATTTTTAATTTAATGAAAAAATTATAGTATATGTTAAAATATTCAACATACTAAACTTATTAATTTTTTCAGATATTGTATAAATTATTGCAGAATGTTCAACAACATAAGCAAGCAGCTCAAAGTTTTTATGTATCATACTTTACTGATATTTTACAACATGTTTTTTCTGTTGCCACAGATACCTCTCATACCGCAAGTAAGATTTATTCATAATTACTTTGCTAAGAGGTTAATTTCTAAATGCATTTATTTATTTAAATTTAAATTTATAGGTTTATTAATGCATGCACAAATCTTATCATACATGTTCAAATTAGTGGAAAGTGATAGGATTGAAGTATTATTAAGTGCACCGGGTGCACCTCCTGATGGTGAAGTCACAGATAAAAATGTTGCCTATGTTCGTGATTTTGTTGCATCACTGCTAAAGACAGCCTTCCCTCATTTGGCTGACCCACAAATTGCTCTTACTGTACAAGGCATGTTTAATTTAAATCATGACCTAACAGCTTTTAAAGATCATCTTCGTGATTTCCTTGTTCAGATCAGGGTAAGTTTATTATAAACATTATTTATTAGTTTTCTAATAAAACTAATATATATCTATAATATAATAATATAAGAATCTTTAGTAATTTTTAGTAAGGGGATTGCAATTTTTTTTTCTTTTATAAATATCATTTAATGAAACTTAAACAACAGTTATCACTCTCAAATTTCATTTTAAACTTGTTTTTTGATTATTATTTAAATTAAAATATTTGTTACCTTTTTTAGTTGATATAATAACTAATTTAATTAATTCATGATTTACTGATATCCATTATGTTATCTTTATCATGATGTTTTTTTTTAATTATTGGATGCGAAAGTTTATTGATTTTCTTTAATAGTTTTATTAATTAATATACTTATTAAGAAATAATTAAAATACACTTGAAGATTATTTTGTTAATTATAATTTGAGATAATATTTCATATTAAATTATTAATTTTTATTGATTGATAATTCTATAGTTTTTTTTTAAGTTAAAGTGTTTGTAAAAGATTGATAGAGTAAAGTATTTAATATACTCTAGATGTATTATTAAAGTCAACGAATATGTACTTGATCAAACACAATATAACTATTCATTCTATTAACTATTAAAAGTACTGAATTTTTTTGTTTCATAATAATTTATAAATTTGTATTAATAATGTTTATATATTTTGTACAAAATTTGAAAAATAAAATTAATTAAATGTTTGTGTATATTCTATTAGGAATTTACTGGAGAAGATATATCTGACTTATACCTTGAAGAAAGAGAACAAGCATTGAGGGCTGCTCAAGAAGAAAAGCGTGAAGTACAGAAGTCTGTGCCTGGTATATTAAATCCACATGAAATCACTGATGATATGCAAGACTAAAATTACATGAATATCGCATCACATATACATCCATTGGTTTTGTTACATATGGTTATTATTTTATTCTAAATCCATCCATTCAATGCAGAACATACATTTTTTTTAACAGCATATTTAGACGTTTATTCCTTATCAACAGTCTCTTTTGCTAATAATAGAATAATATGTATATTTCTAAAACAAAATCTAAAATGTTTTTGTAAGTTAAGAAAGTTTTATATTAAAAACTGAAAAATTGACTGGCTAAGAATATATGTTTAAGTTATGACTTACTCTGGTATCTGCTGCTGCTGTGGCTGTGGATTTTTAAGCCCACCAATTCTATTTATTTAGAGAAACTACTACTTAGTAAGTTTTTTTATACACATAAACAATAATAAAATTAAAAGATTTATATATATTTATATAAATAAATAAATATGTATTTTATATAATTTAAGCATAATTATTTATATATGTGTATATGTATATTATATACATTTATATATAAATATGTTTAAAGTTAAATAAACAGGAAAATAAAATCATAAAAAACCTAATGGTTTGATATTTGTAATTGTAAATAGTTCAGTAAAACATGTGAATCAATTTATTTTTTTTGTTTAAATTATTACAAAGTATGGTTGGGAAACAATTTGTAGTATGTTAAAGTTATACAATTTAATTATTATACAAGTTTTATATTAAAAAAAAAAAAAACCCAATTGTAAAAATAATTGTACAAATTTTTCTTTACTATTTTTATATGAAGTGAGTTGGAGAACTTAATCTAGCAGATTAGTATTAGATTTTTTTTTGTTATCTATTATTTGATAAGTTCACTGTAATTTGTTCCCGATTAGGTTCTAGATTTATTGGCATTTAATAAAGTTAAACTGACATCTTTTTGACAAATCGTTTATTCATTAATGTAATATATATTTGTTTACTATTTACATGTGTGCATCTCAATGTATAGCCCACTTATACATGTAATTATTTTTTTATCATAACATTCATAACAATTGAAAAGTATTGCACATTTTTTTTCAGGTTCATATTAGTTATATATATATTTACTAATTAGATATTACATTTAATGCTATTGTAAAAAGTATCAACTCTACTAATTTGAATATTGTAAATTGATATATTTTACAAAACTTGGTATAAATCATAGTGTCGTATTTCCATATTTTTAATGTTATCTACTCCAGGTCTTGTATTGGCATTAATAACTAATGACTTAACTGTATTGCCGTATTTTGTTTTTATAACTCAATATCAAATGATACACTGAGGTGTAATGTGTGCAATGGGTTTAAACTGTGTTTCACCTTCATTTTTGGTTGATTTTCTACTGGTATACATCCACAAAAATAACATTTTGTTGGCTATAATTTCATTTTTAATAATCAAACAACAATTTACGTAGTCTTAACTTAAATAATTATTTTTAAGCACAGAAAAAATTATGGTTTTATGATAAAACATATCAATATGAAATTGTACAGATTTTTATTTTTAACAGAAATGTGTATATTATTATCTAGCTTCCTTTTCATGAAAAAAAAAACTACTTTTAGATTATGAATGGTGTAAATAATGTATTGGTTTTATAACAATATGAACTATTCACTTGCATATTATATTTAATTTTATTACAATTATATGTTTTTAAGGTAATATTTTTAAATTAAATCCAATAATTTATTACTTTTTTCATATTTAAACGTTTTATAAACATTTTAAATTTATACTTTCTAGTATTATATTTTTACAAATATTCAAATAATATTTTCCGAATCCAATTTTATTTATTTTTTAAAATTAGTCATTAAGTTGTAAAATATTTTGTATTTCTAAAGGTTACCATAAATTCTGATTCACATTTAGATCTTTTATTCACGTGAGTTGTATTATGAAGATCTATAATTTTTGACGTCGTATGTGAGATGCAGTTTTGGTTTTTACGTTTTGCTAAAAAAATAAAAATAAAAAATAGTCATTTCTGGTTATTTCAGGAATTTATTATACAAATAGGTATTAACATGTATCTTATCATGTATACATTGTGACAGAGATGTGGGCTGCAGTCAAAATATATCCTAATTTGTAAGTATACAGTAAATCAACATCAAATTTATAATGCTCCAAAAAACAAAATTTCTGTCTATTTTGTTATACCCTCAAATTTTAGTTGGCTAGGTACCTCCTGTATAAAATTGCTTACTTAGTTTGACAAATCATGTTCTTAGCCAAGTTATGAAAACTAGTGATGGATCAACCCCCACCCGTCCATTGTAGTTATTATATTTTAAACTATTTCGTAGTTTTAACAATGTCTATAATTACGCCATTTTTGTATTCTCGACATCAAAAATCCTAGGTATCCGATCCTGATATGATAATAATATCATGTTTCGGGCTTTAATTTATTTTTTTTACTTGTTACCTAGTTTAACCTCATCACCGTGTTCGTCTCCGTTCACGGTACTATTACGACCGATAGCGTATTTGTTCGGAGTACTATTTTTCATCCTCTGGGAGTAACTCTGATCCCATTCTTTGCACAGAGACGCGGATAGCTGACTGACGTTGTGTTTTTGGTCGTATTCAATGAGTTTTTTCAAATCTAAAATTTTGTCGTGTACGTGTATTATTTAAGATACGCATCACATCAAAATATTAATCTTCTGTAAAATACCCGTACTCAGTACAGTTAAACTCCGCCAATAGAAAAGATCTATTATTTATTATTGCGTTTGTGTGCAGAATCTAGGATGTGTTCTATTCTGCCGCTCTCTCTTACCAAATTTATCTACTAGTGCGGCAAAACATATCGATGCAAAATAATACTGAAGCTCCAATATCGTAAGGTTAACAAAAAAAAAAAAAAAAAACCGGTCGGTTGCTTTGTATAATACGTGCATGATGCATCATTCGTGCCGCATTTAACGCCTCCCCGTATTCTATGAGTACCAAAACGCGTAAATATAATACCATTTTATTCATATTAGAAGTTAAATAAATTTTGAGTATTTTTTGTAAGCATTCAGTGTAATTAATTATGTTTGTTAGTATATAATAACTTATTTGTTCAAATGCGTTTTAATAATAAATATAAATGTATAGGATCATAGCCCATAGGGATGTATCTTATATTCATAGGATTAAACTATATTATTATTGTTATAAACAAACAATAAATATGGTTTCTATGCATGCCCTATGTAATATTGAACTGAAATATTATAAAATAATTTTTGTTAATTTGCCTAACAAAACTACAGAAGAACTGTTAAAAAAAAAAAAAACTACAGCATTCTTATACTTATAAATAATTGTTGACATATTGATGTAAAAAGGTATTTAATATTTATGGCTTTTACTCGAAATACTTTTTTTTTAGCGCTTTTAATGATAAGTAATTTTTAATTATTATAGTATCTTGTTTTTTTTTTTTTTTTTATTTGTAAGTTGGAATGACTTCTAGTTGCTGTAGGCACAATTAATGAAACACCATTAGAGATGTTTATTCATGGCTAAATACTTAGGTGTGACAGAAATAATACTAAAATCCGTTCTATAAGCGCGTTTATGAAATAATAAACAAATTTTAATTTATTATATGGTAATATGACGTCAGCCGGCAAGAATTTTTATCGGCCAAATTTTTAAACTAGTTAACTGTGATAAAAGTTGCTATCGGCTGACGTCATGACATGCGTATCACAGAGTTGCTGTCATACCTAAGTATTTAGCTATGTTTATTCATTTCCCCCTATTTATAGATGTACAATTTTAATTGCTATATTCGTGATCAAAATTGTTTTTTTAACATGTAAATGAATGCAATCTGGATAACATTTTTTATTTAGCATAGGTACCTCATACAGTATTCCTATTAATATAACGTAAAATATCTCTAACAAAGTATTATTATAAATTATAACTATCCATAAAATTATGTTTCCAGTTCACTCTTTTAGTCTTATGTACAATTCTATTGATTTCAGTTAAGTTACGTTTTAGTGTTTTACTGAGTGATCGAGTGGTATTCTATAATAACTATTCCTGAGAGGTCTATTTTAGATCGATTTCCACTCTTAATAGAAGTATTTTTTGTAAATGATACTACCTAATAGTGTTTTTAAACTAAATCTTATTAGGATTTTTGTTACAGCCAAAAATTTTTTGTGTAGGTAAAACCGAAAAAACTCCAAATGGTTTCACAAAATTTGTAATTCATCAAGTAGGTAATTCGTATTATACGACACATTCTAGATAGATATTTTTTATAGTAATTAATTTACGGTAAACATTTTTCTACTACTTGATAATATTGATACTTATGGATTTTTGAACTTTTTAAATAGTTAAATCATAATTAATTGTTTTAAATGTATTCTATTGGCTATAAAATAAAAACGATTATTATGTAATTTACACTAATAAAAGTAAAAATTATGTTTATTTAAAATAAAAAAAATGAAAAACACAGATCTAAATAATTTTATTAGTAACACGTAGTTTCATGATACGTATGACTCACTAGAATTGTTATGATTTTATTGTATAGGTGGTAGCCAATGAGGGAACATTTTAACCGATTGACTATTTTTTCTGGAGTATCCGCATCAGCTTCCATTTGTCCGCTTTGACTCTCACTATTCATTTGAAGGTGGCTGTATCGGCTCCTTTCAGATGTCAATGGTGTGGAAGTATCGGCTCTTAATTAACAAAATTTTCCTTTCCATCTACAAGCTGAGGACTGACTACAGATATGTTCGCCAAAAGGGCTCTTAACGAATAGTTAACCTCAGTGACTCGCACTCGCAGGCTGGGTCATAATAAAATACCTAGTACACTAATGTTACGCCGATTGCTCGAAATAATAACACCAAAAAATATAATATACGCGTTAAAGTTTTAACGTATAGTATAATGTATAATGTATATATTATAATATAATATAAGAATAATAATTGATAATAATAATAATAACAATAATAATACGCAAACTTTTAATAATATGGTTTATGTTCACAAATAGGACGTAATACGGCTATTAAACAGCGGAATGGTCAAACACCTGGAGCCAATATGGACTCATTAGAGCCTGCCGGGAGCCGATGCGGTATTATCCATTTTTTCAAATCTATTGTATGCCTGCCAGTTTTTTTTTTTTTATTGGTTTATATTGAATTGAACCCGTTGAACTTTGCACGGCGTTCGTTAACGGCTCGGTGCAGGTGTATATTAGTTCAAAATTACCAACCATAGTCGTATCGATTACTTTGTGAACACACAATTTATTATGAATGTGAAATCACAAAGTGTATGTAGAGTAATCAACAAAAAATCAAAAAAAAAAAAAAATCATAATCGATCGACTTAAGATTTTAAAAAATGTGGAAAGGTTATGAGCTTCAACAGTATACCTGTCGTAAAAATTCATGAGTGTTTTTTTTTCTCTTTAAATTGTTTTCTAATAATGCATTATTCGGGAATAGAAATACGTATTGCTCGGGAAATTTCGATAAATGGAATCATGACAAAAAATTAGTAATTGTATCAAAAGGAAATATGCGGTTTTTTTGACCAATCATAAACAAATTTTAATAAATAATATCTAATAAGCACAATATACATTTGTTTGAAAGACTATTCAGCTAACCTCCGCGCCATGTCTCCCGGATAACGTTTATAGGATAAAGGGTCACATCTCAAACAACCAAAAAATGTTTGTTAAATTCAATTCGACAACCCAAAAGTTTATTATACTAGTCAGTAGTCAATAGTAATACTAGTAATGCTTAATCAGTATTAATAACATTATATATAATATATATAATACGTCATATTATTTTGTTGCATAATGATATATTTATATATTCTAAACTAAGGGAAAAAGTTTTATAATATGGCGAAAATTTTCCAGGAAACTGAAAAAAAATGTTTTTTACCATAATATGCAATACCCGTGTATTCATTGGCGTACTAATTAAGGAAGAAGGCCGATGGGGGTAGGAAGTGGCTTAACCTCTATACGCTTTTAATATTTAGTCCATCCTGGATAAAATCCAGATCTATGCATGAAAAAAAAACTGTCAAGGATAACATTTTTAAAGTAATTAATAATTATAATGTTTATAATTTATTAATACTGTGGCTATAATAACAATTAATATAGATATAAAATTATCTAACGAGATTATCGGTTGGGTAATAGTATTTTATAAACATTTGCATTTAAATAAGGAGTATGCAATTACAAAATATATATTATATACACATTTTATCATTAAAATTTTGTTTTTAATAACAAGGGGAACACTTTTACTCTAGGTATGGTTTGTTTTGAACTTTGGTTTTTTAGAAATCTGTAGTCTGTAACTATTAAATCCTAGTTACGCTAATGTATATACCTTTTGAACATTCAAAACCAATAGGTAGGTACAGGCATATCTACAGCTATTTATTATTTATTTCAATTACAAATATATTTACGTACCTACTTCTATATATATATATATATATATATATATACTCGTATATGTTTATGTGCAATTAAGACGTGGAATGTGATTTTACAAAGAATCAAAACATTTTGCATCCCCAATAAATTAAAATTTCGAACTTTGTCAATATTTACCTTCTATGAAATCATTCAACAGACTGGGTTCTATGTGCGTATATCCCAAGATGTCTAAGTGCCTTTTCACTTCTTCTGTGTCAACTTCCATTTTGTAATTTTAACTCAATACTGACAATACTTGGGTACAATGTTTTATTTTATGTTTGTAAATTGTTTATAATAAATTATTAACGAATTGTTGTCAAGGCTATGCAGCAGGCAAAGACACATATATTGTTCGTATATTGTACAACTGTTTAATGTTGACTGAAGATAGTTAATAACATTACAGGTAAATAATATTTGTATATTTTGTATATCGTATAGATAATAGATACATTATATAGGTAATATATAAATGATGTAATAACGTGTGATTTATTGTTAAAACTTTCGATTGATATTTGATAAAATAAAAACAGGCATGAGCGTAGGTAGGAAATATTTTCGGAGGGGGTTTTGGTCTAGGTCTTTATTGATATTATAAAAATTAAAATTAAATATGAATTATTGGCTGCATCCGAGTTCCGTCCCATATATAAAAATTGAAATTAAAGGTATACTAGTTCCGTCCCAGCTTTTTTTAATGAACATACTAATTCCGTCCCAGGTTTTTCTTAATGGATAATATACTAATTCTGTCTTGCATCAAGTCTTTTAGAAATAAAGATGATATTTATTTCAGTTATTGCACCAAATAATCGAATTTAACAATATCCTATTATATAGAAATAAAGATAATATTATTTTCAGTTATCGCACTAAATAATTGAATTTAACAATATCATATCACATAGAAATAAAGATAATATATAATAAGATTTTAGTTAACGAAACAAAATAAACTTTTCAGTCGTTATTTGTGCGTTTACGTGTCATTTAATATAACTATTAAATATGGATACTATGTACAGTGAAAAAGGTAAAATGTTAATTATTAAAAATGAATTTAAATTTTGTTTTCATAAAGAATTGAATAATAATATTGAACGCTGGAAGTGTATTCAAAAACAATGTAAAGCATATATAAAAATTGGTAAGATAACTAAATTTATAATAATTAAGTTTTTATAATAAGGCATATAGGTACTTAAAATAATTTTTTACATTAGGAAAAAATAAAGGAATTGTCTTTGAAAATTTAAATCACAGCCATGATAGAACTGATGAAACTAATTTAAATCGTCAAAAGCTTAATAATAAATTAAAAAGAAAAGCTGTTGATGATATTTGTGAAAAACCAGCAAAACTTATTCATAAAGAACTTTCTAATCATGATGTTAATACAATTACCTCTAATGATATAGACTTAATTAGAAAAAAATATTCACCGTGCAAGGTCTTCCATATTATCAATGTTACCCACATCCATTGAAGACGTTCATGAATTATTGAAAAAAACGACGATATATACAAATAATGACGAAAATTTTTTTAATTATAAATGATCCAATTACACACATTATTATGTTTACTTGCAATACAAACTTATCTCATTTAAGTAAAATTAGTACTATTTATGTTGATGGAACCTTTAAATGTTGCCCAAAACAATTCACACAATTTTTTACTATTCATGGATTAAAAGATTCAAATAATTATATTCCATTAGTATTTTTTTTACTGCCAGACAAAACTAAAAACACGTATGAACATGCTTTTAAATTTTTAAGAACAGAATTTGATAATCTCCAGTTAAAATTTACACCAAAAACTATTTATGCAGATTTTGAAAAGGCTATACATAATGCCGTATATGCAGTTTGGCCAGAAATAGACTTAAGAGGATGTCGATTTCACTTAGGTCAATCATGGTTGCGTAAAATTCAAGATCTAAAATTGTCCACTTTTTATAGGAATAAAAATTCTGAGATTGGTAGATTTTTAAAGTATATATTTGGATTGCCATTTTTAACACCAGATGAAGTAGGTGATTTTTTTTGCGTCCGAAATGATGGGAATCAAACCAGTTGATAGAAAAATAGACTTATTTCTAGATTACTTGGTCGATAATTATATTTCACCTGAATCTACTTTTCCACCTCGTATCTGGGCTGAATTTTCGCATAGTACTTTCCGTACCACAAATAACTGTGAATCATTTCATTCTAAATTCAATGGAATGTTTTATCATGCCCACCCAAATATTTATCAATTTATAGAAGCTTTAAAATATATACAACAAGATTCCTATATCAAATTAAGAAGTACCATAAAACGAAGGAACCCTATATTAGCTAAAGAAGATTTTATTAAAGAAAAAATGTATAAATATAGTTCAGGTCAAATATCACGATTGGAATTTGTAAAAGAAATATCCTTTAAATTCAATCCAATTTCAAATTTTTAAAAATGTATTATATTTTTATTTTGACTATTTAAAAATAGTATATTTATTTTTATATTACAATATGCCTGTTTGACTAACTAACTGTTTAATATTTATTGATTTTTATTATTTATATTATTACGATTAATTATAATTAAATTATGAAGATGTACTCTAATATTATGAATACCTATATTTTTTTGTAAATATTTTATAACAACAATATTATACATATTATATTTTATTATTATTTTAATTCTTCTTTTTTTTTTAACCGGGACGGAATTGGTATGTGTCTTTTTTTTAACCGGGACGGAATTGGTATGTGTCATTTTTTTAACCGGGACGGAATTGGTATAAAAAAAGGTTCTCGGGACGGAACTCAGATGCAGCCGAATTATTTATTCAGTTTTATCTTTAATTTCAGGGGGGGGGCTGTTTGAATACCTCCCCCTTACCTACGCCCATGAAAACAAGTATATTTTACTTCATTATATTATGTATAATTATTATTGTTTATATCCTGACGATTTTTCAGTGCTTAATACCTACTATTAAAAGTCAGAATATTCTAATGGGTAAATTAATAATTAAAATTTATTAATTAAAATAATATTGCAAATAAATACTCATTTAAATAAATTTATATTTATTTTAAGCTTCTTACAAATATAATACATTATACAAGCTTAATATAGTTATGGTGTAGGGGAATAATAGTATATATTTACATAGATTAACATAGAATAAAAATATTAGTGTAATACATTCATACATTTGGGCTCATAGTTACATTCACGCCCTCCCCCCCCCCCCCCCCACAAAAAAAAAAAAAAAAAAAAAAAAAAAAAAAAATCCACTCATTATAATATAAGAAACTAAATCGATAACAAAAATAATCACGATATTTGAAATTATCAACAGCAACAATTATTAAAGTATTTAAAAATTTTTACAACATTCACGAACGAATTTCATATATTATGCAGTATGGAAAAACGAAATTTATTTCTCTATGTAACCGTAGACATAACAGCTGTCGGAACACTCGGAATACAATCAAAAAATTATCTATCATTTATCCGTTTTTAATCGTTCTTATCGGCGTAAGCCCGTTACTAGGTTCCGAATTCGATTTGATCGATCACAATTTTATATCCATGGCGGTTGCTTAATTTTCTGACACTAGCACAGTCACGATTTTCTAATTAAACATGCATCTATGATGGCTTATGGGAACACTCGGTTTGTACACGTATAGGTATTTCGTGTTGATTTATTATAGAAAATAAACCGATATTTTGTCTTTCAAAGTCTCAATTATTTTCTTTCGCGGGTAATCGAGTTTACTGATTGTTTTAATAACGATGTTATTACGTGAGTACCTATAAATAGTTAATATTCTGATTGTTACCTTGTTACTCAATATCGACTATTATTCGTTATATGCCGTACACTAAAGCGACTCATGCGTATAATTTTACATTTTATTTTAAAAATATTGTCAATGCAACTAATAAATATACATGTCCATATAGGTAATACCTAGATAGCTACTAGCTACCAAAGTAGGTTCAGTGGCGCAGGAACTATTTTTCAGGAAGGGGGGCAAAATGTAAAAAGCATAATAATTACTATAATATATTTATTTGTGTGTTATTAACTGAAAACCTTCTTTAATATATTTATACCTGTATATATATATATATTGTTTACAAAGGCAGTACCTATATGATAATATAAAATACAAGAATTATTTAAATGTATTAAAGAAATTATAGTTTAATATTAATACATTATATTTATACATTTATACATTGAAACAAAACAGAAAACATATTTACTTTAAAACTGAAGTTATATTTAAAATTAACAATAAATTAATAACAAAAAAAATTTAATGAATTTCACATAGAAAATTATTAAATTATATAAAAGTATAAAAACAATTTAGTATAATATAAACACATTTATATATTGAAGTAAAACAGATAACATATTATTATTATTAATTATTACAAATTATTATTTACTTTATAACTGAAATGATATTTAAAATTAACAATATATATATAAATATAAAAATTAAAATTAAATAAACGTTACATATCAACATTTAGAAATATTTAAAGAAAATTGATACCTGAAATATTAATGAAAATTTCCAAATGTTGATTTTCTTTGTGAAGTTCTAGAAACAAATTCTTTGGCAATTAACTTCAAATCAATTTTTGCTGTCATTGACTTATGAACATGTAAAATCATCATATGAGTTAATCTCTTTTGGGTCATTGTGGACCTCAAATATGTTTTTAATCTTCTCAATGCACTAAAAGAACGTTCTGCTGTCGCTGCGGACGCTGGTATTGTTAAAATTAATTTAATAAGTTTGGTGATTTCAGAAAACAAAGTATCTTTTGCATTTAAATATTCATTTCTCAAAATATTAATAATATCTGAAATAGTAGTGGTAGATACTATAGATGGCAACATAAGAAGCTGTGCATGAAGCTTATTTACATCAAAATCTTCATTCATATTATTTAAACAATTATTAAGTTCTTGGTGAGTTTTTGTTTTTTTATCTACAAGTATGTTTTCTAATTTAACCAAGTTTTTTAGACCTTGTTGATTAAAACGTCTATCAATTTCATTTATTAAATAGTCAATTATTTCAAACATATCTTTCTTCAGTTCACATATTGGTGATAATTTTGTAGAAGGGTTATTTGTATATTGAAGTCGTTTTGGTGTCTTTTGGATGCGTCTATTGTCTTCAAGTGGTTCTAATTTACATAATTCAGCATGTAAATTCACGGTATTTAATATCTTTTCAAAATTTTCATTAGTTCTGAATGATAGTAATGTTTTCTTCAATGTATCAGCAGCTTTAATAGAATCAGATGCACAAAATTTAGGATTTTGTAACACTTTTGCTAATTGTTCTACTGGACCAAAGATATGTATTGCAATAGTCAAAAAAAACATTGTTTTGAATTTTTTTAATTTTTTCACATATCCTCTTAGTGTTGATTTTCTATCATCTGCTATGCAAACACTTCCTGAAAGCATTTCATCCAATGTTTTTTTGAACTCTACTATAATTATCTAAAAATCTTATTAAACTTTTAACCCTTACAGACCATCTAGTTGGACAAAATGGAAGTAGGTTTTGTTTTATACTATCCAATTTAGACGAATGATAACATGGCTCTAATACTATATTTTCATAAATACTTTTTCTCTTAGCAGATTCAAGAATAGCATTTGACACATCTCTGACCATAGTAAAAATATCACACATGGAAATATTTTTTCTTGCAACTTCTTGTAATGCTAAATCCAATGAATGATTACTACAGTGTACAAAACAACTTTTGGGTTGAACATCTTCAATTAATTTTTTGACCCCATTCAATTTGCCCGACATATTAGCAGCTCCATCAAAACAATGACCTCTTAAATTTGATGTAGATAAAGTAAATCTTATTAAAATATCTTTAATCGTGTCAAAAAATGTTAACGCTTTACTATCAGGTGTATTATATAAACCAGTAAATAATTCATGAACTTCAAAATTTGAATCGACATAACGAATACACAAGGAAAATTGTTCTGCAGAAGAAATATCAGTAGTTGAATCAGCAATTATAGAGAAATACTCTGATGTTTTAATCGATTTCACAAGTTCACGCTGTACATTTAATGACATTATTTCTAATATTTCATTTTGAATATCTGAACTAAGCCAGTTGTTTTTTTGTTGTATCCAATTTCTTAAACAAGGAACATCTAGAGATCTTTCTTCTAATAAAGAAATAAAATTGCCATCATTATTAGAATGTCCTCTGATACTTAATCCCATCTGACTAAGGTATCGCAAAGTACTTATTATTGTTAATAAAGCAGTAGATGCATTTTTTTGTTCTTCGATTTTTTGTTTAGACAACAAAGAAATGACTGGTAAATTAGAATTGATACTTAAAAGATAATGTATAGAGTTAACATGCATTTTACTGTTTTCATGGGAACGCAATTTTTCAGATGCTTTTTTCCAATTTTTAAAACCATCTACTATAAAAGATAACTCGGTGTGTTTATTTAATTTATTATTTGTCTTGTGATAGAATGAAATACAATCAAAACAAAATGCACGATCTTTAGATGTATCATAATGAAGCCAGGTAAACGTTTCAAACCACTTTGCACAAAATGATCGGTTTTTGTGTTTTGGAAAAATAAAACTACTTGATGGTTGATTTTTTGTTTCAATTAAAGGAAGAATGGGTTGATTACTTTTTTTTGAAAATGAAGATATTGATATAACATTACTGATATTATTTTGTGAACTCTGTTGTAACTCTGACTCCTGAAAAAATAGTGCCCATTTCAATATACTATATACTTTTTCTGAATTTAGGAAAAAAAACCCCATACCAACTAAATACATAATAATTTGTTATTACTATAGATATTATAATAATATAATATAAAAAAAATAATACACCTAACATTGTTTTTCATAAATGATTAAATTATTTTATTATATTACACTATTATTCACCGAATTTATTATAATAGGTACTACATTTATTTTATTAATAAGGTAACTATTAAACTATAAAAAAATACATCTAGGATGTGGCATTAAATAATAACTAATTAAATTACAGCTAAAATAATATAATATTGACTACATACTAGGTATATATACAATATACATTGATATTATGCTAAAAAAAGTGTTACATAATTACCTATTGAAATATAAGCTTATTGCTTAAAAATTAAAAATTATAAAATGTACACGATGTACAATTGAATTAAAAAGGCTTACCTTTGTGTTTGATTTTCTAATGACAAATTTGTCCATTTTAATTTTAATAAGATTAACATACACGAAGTCGTAATATTGGCCTCTCGCGCTCTAATGACTGTTGTAGTGCTGTCTACTCTACAGTCTAGTCTCTAATGTCTAGTGTCAACTAGTAATAAAATCCGCTTGCGCTTAAAATATTTAATAAACACCGTACAACCCATAAATAATCTAATAATATTATAATAATAAACAACATAGTTCGCTGTTAGAACACAGGGACTGGTGGAATTTCCCAGTAATTTGATAAAGCAGCACTCCAAACAGAGAATGTCTATTTTTATTTTTATAGTTTTAAATAATTCAATATTATGTATTATCATTGATTATAAAATATACTACAAAAAAAATAGTATAGTGTTAGTGTATACTTGTATTTATAATCAATGGTATATTGGAATTATGTTATAATAATAAATACTATCGTACGCATTCACGAAAATGAGATCAATTTTGAATACTTAAATTTAATACGTATAAATTAAATGTAATTTACTGCTATGGTATACGTTTTAATGTTAATGTGGTTGAGGTGGCAAAATTATACTTTTGACCCCCTTGGATTATATCTGAGGGGTCAATTGCCCCTTCTGCCCCCCCTTCTCCGACGCCACTGAGTAGGTTATTCAATAAAAACAGAGCAATAAAAAAAAAAAAAACAATTCAATAAACCGATGGCCGACGTAAACTTATATATTTTATTAATACTGTACAATATTTAAATTATTATACTAAAACAAAACTATACATCATTTATAATATTTTAGGTTCAATAGAATATTATTTGCTGTTGAGTGTCTTAAGTAAAATTTCTTCGTTTTCAAAACGATAGTTGATAACTCTCTTTTTTTAATAATATCACTGCAAACACACAAATATGTAAATAGTTAGGTAGTTAATGATAAGTTGTATAAGGTTTGGTTTTCGATCTATCGTAAGACGAGGTATCACCTAAATTCACGTCATCTCTGTCGTTCTTATTTTCCGTTTCTGTTTTGAAATACAATTTTTCGTATGTGTTACTTAACTTGCTGGTGACGATTATTGTTAAAAGTGCAATGAAAGCAAACATGAAAAACATGTCGGACTGGTTTCAAAACATACTTGACATATTATTATGGTATCGTGGGTATAAATTAAAGGATATAAAAATTGATTACCTACTTTCTTTTCAAACGCTATAAATTTGTTGATAAAAATTACAGTTAAATTCCCTAGGGCTACGCAAAAGTACCACATAGATATTGATACGGTCTTTATTGATTCGGGAGTCTGAAAAAAATTCAATTAATACAATTATTCGTTTAGTTAATGGAAAAGAATAACAGATATACAAAAAAAAAAAAAAAAAAAAAAAACAATTAAGTTTGTAGATGCGTTTTTTTATGCTTTTCCGCGTCCCCCTTGCTAGCAATAACTAAGAAGCTAAATTAATTTTTTTTAAAGGATAGATTATTTAATAAATTTAAATACATATAGCAAATGTAAACTTATGTAACGTCCAATTTATAATACAAATAGATGATTTATATTTTTGTTCGTAGTAGTTGTAATCTTGTAAATAAATTATTAAAACAGTAAAAAAAAAAAAGAACTTACAAGTCCTTCACCCTCTTAAATTTTGTTACTATTATTAATTTGTTCTTATTTAAGTCTATCGATTAATGTTTATGTAATTAACAATCGTTAATTATGTGCATAATAGCTAAGTAAATCGTAATTGTTTTTAAAAAATTTTTATTTACTTCTGAAAAGGAAAACGATAATCCAGTCATGGTAAAAAGTGTTTCGCCAAATGTAATACAGATGAATTGAGGCAATAACCATTCTTTACTAAAAACACGGGTCTGTAAAACCGCATTCGATTTCAATTCCTAAAAATATCGTATTGTGTATCAAAATATGTATAGATAATAATCATAGTGACATAGGACTTAGAGGTTATATATGTAATACATACAGTATTCATTAAATTATTATCATATTCATTTCTATGTATACAAACAGAATTGGTTTCAAGTTTTAATACGTTCATTGAACTCGGTTTTTGTTTTTTATCCATATAATGTATTGTTAGTGTATACCTTAAAATTGTATTTATTAAATGTTTTTATTATTTTTTTGATAAATTATTTGTAGCTATAAATTTATAAGTTATGGAAAACTAGCTATTATAATTAATAATGTTAACATTTACTATCTACATATTTTTAAAGAAATTGTACCCTCCACTAGTTAGGTACTTATAAGTTGGCAACATTGAAAATAAATAAGTAATTATATATTATCAAAATTCTTTAATGATTCTTGTAATTTTTTATTTTCAACGCTTCGTAAAATATTTAAGAGTTTAATAATAATTAATTTGGAAAATAAATAATTTTAATTAATTGATAAAAACTTCTATGAGTTTTAATCTCATTTTCTTCTATTTCTTAAAGTTATATTGTTTTAATTTACTTACAAGCCAGAAGGAATTTTCAAAATTGTATTATTTTGAAATTGAGAAACGGAATGTGATTCCTCGAAAATCGTTATCTTATTATTAGACATAGACTCGAGTGTAAGATTTTTGATGCGTGACCATATTTTGTCATTTTCATTTAATGGAACAATTATACTATTACAAAACAGATTACCCCAATGAAAAATATTAGTTTTTTTTTAATAACCATGTACAACTTTACTGAATTATGTATGGATGCTTTTTTTTCCAAAGTCATGTTCACATTTTCCGGCACAAGCACCGCTGAAGGCGAGTTAAATAAAATGTTATCTTCCTTAAATAAACTATTTTCCGTCAATAATAATATAAATGACTTCTAAAAATATTATACATACACGAATACAATATAATAGAGTTAATTCGATTTTTAAGAGTAAAAAATGTTCTGTTATAAAAAGGGATTCTTTTAAAAGTTTGTAAACATTTTTGGGCATTTATTTTTATTTTTTATCTTTATAAAATGTAAGTTTTACCTTATCTAATAATAACATATTTTTTAAACTACTTATTTCTAAGCAGAATAATTTCCCTAAAAATTGTTATTTATAAATATTTAGTTTATTGGTAATATGTATTTTAGATGAGCGGATTAGAATGACCCAAAGCACTGGAGTAAATACCTCACAAAATACTATTTTGAAAATAGTGTATACTACTCTGATTCATTGGAAAGTAAAATGTATACTACCATTTAAAAAGCAAAAATTTAAAGACTTATAACGAAAAAACAAAAATGTTTTTTATATTCATATTTTTTTGTAATTTTACGTGACTTAAAAAATATTTCTAAAAATATTCAAAACATCCGAAATAACGAGTATTTATTAATTTACTATTAAAAAAACGAATTGTATAATTTAATATAGATAGGTAAATGACATAAGTTATTAACATTATTTTCAATAATGCCTGACTCTACTTTAATTTCATATTATATCTTGTGAAACCTACTTTAACTATTCCTTTGTCATTTATAAATGTTTGGTTTTTTTCTTTTTGGTATTTGAATTTTTATAGACTGTTCATTCATATATTCTGAATTTTTAATATTATAATCCAAAATAAAATATCTAGTTGCGTTCAATTTTCGTAAGCTTAAATTTGATAGCCATATGTTCGCTGGACGTGTTTTCGTGTAATATGCGTTTGCATTATGTATATTTTCATTTTGAATATTATTCTATAACACGGTAGAATAAAAATTATATAATATTATTAATTAAATAAAAAATACAGTTTTCCAGAATATTCAATCATTTATAGGTAAATTGGTTTATGTAATTTACACACCTCTAAACATTTTTCGAGGCATCCGGCAAAAATAAATGCTATACCAGCAATACCACCACCAAGTAACATTCGTTTTATAGGATACTTAAATAGTTTATGGCTCTTCAAATAAGGATAAACTAGACGGTCCATAAATCGAATAGTGAATAGTATAAGCAAGGGATTTACCACTTGTAGCATGTACACTGAAAATGGTATGCCAAACAAATGGTCGCTTGTCCTTGATGCTTGAAAAATCCAAGTTGTGTGCTAAATCAATAGATAAGAAACTTATAAAATTAATATGGATACAACTTGCACGATATTATTTACTTGTTGATCGAACAAGCTCCAAAACATTGATAAAGGTATGTATAGACAAAGTATGTGTAATGTTTTCTTCGTGTCATTTATAATTTCGTTTGAAAATGAAACTTTTGCTAATTCTAACCAATGCTTATTTTCTGTCTCCTTGCTGCATGATGTTAATCGTTTCCACAAAGAAAACTATGAACAATGATACCAATATACTACACTTTAGTGATCATTATCATTGCATATTATTGGAAATCGGTAAATTTTTTTTATTAAATTTAAATGTTTGAATTAAATGAAAATATTCTAAAAAGTTAACTTACTAAAATACATTTTATCATTTTGGGTAGAATATTAGTAAGAGATTTTTTGTAGACGTAGTACGAGTTTCCACAAATAAATACGCCTAAATAAAAAAGTATTGATATTATTTTGTACTTAACAATTATATTGTAATGTTTTAGTCATAAAAATAACATATTTATTTAAAAAAATAAGAAAATTATATTAGTATAAATTAATATAAATTAAATTTAGTTTTCTATAGTCTACATCAAATAAGACACATACTGATACACTAATCAATAATATACAGTTAGCTCCGGTTTTTGAAAGCTGTCTTTTACTGTGAGTTATGAGATAGAAAACAAATATTTTTCAAATCAATTGTTTAGTTATAATATAATAATAGATGGCATTTTTGCATAAGTTTAAAAAGATATAAAATTGTTTAGTGTAAATTAGGTACTAATTTATTATTTTTCTTTGAATAAAATCGCAAAACACTTGTGAAGATATCTTTAATTTTAAGATATTTCTTTTTGCATGTGAATATCATGTACCATTTATTATAATATAATTATATATCCATTTTAAAAAGTTCAACTACGAGAGATTCAAAATTATATAGTAATGATAATTGATAATTTATATACTATTCGTACTAAAAGGGTACCTATTATATTTTGACGTTTCG